TGCAGCAAGATAAACGTTTTTTTCACGTGACATAGTGCTCATTCTTCTAAGTAAAACTCCTCGTGGAAGGTATAGAAAACGTTTTTTCTACTTAGAATTGGCTCCTCGGTATGAAGTAAATATTCATTGGTACCCAAGCCAGTCCTCCGTTTAGACCATAATACAGTGAGTGCCTGGTACTTTTCTTATGAAACTGTCCATAATTGACTGTACGGAATCAGCAGAAAGACATAGAGACATTCCACTAGTGGGGTAATATAGATTTAATGAACTGTTGGTCTGTCCAGTATGGCTGGATGAGACAAGTTACAAGCACTAAATTCAACCCATTTTGGATAGTAGAAATCACAAGCTGGTTCTTTTAGCTTTCTAACCTTTTGGTAAATTAAATAGTTAGGCTGGAGGTGTCATTTTGCCTCTACAGCCCCCTATATATGGAGTGTTCTGCAGCTAGCCCACCATAAAATGGTCTAGAGGGCCGTTTTGGCCATCAAAACTGTCGTTTGTTTGGTGCATTCGCAAATTCTAACCTTGAGAACGTTTCCCTTACCGTTTCTGTTCCTTAATAAAAAATACATAAACCCACCTAATCCAATAGCGTGAAACATTAGAGGTGAATGCTTCAGCCGAAGAATTGTCTGAAGAATAAATCCGGACCAGTTGCTCCATTTGTGAGTGACTAACAAAGTTGCTATAAAGGCAAGACCATTAATTTACGGACTGGAATAACCGGTAATAGTTGGGAATCATGACTTTACCCCGTTGCTCAAAGAATGTTTTTGGAAATTATTTTCGCGAAAGTTCTCTTTTCATGGAAAAGGAAGACAACGTTGTGTCTGAGAGTCTGGAAAGATATGGATGCAACGCAGACTCTGATGCCGTTCTCCAACTGCAGAACCCTGAATAATGGATGTGACAAATCTGAGCTAAATTGCAGACATCCGACGGTAGTCGCATGTGGTTTCAGGTTTATGAAAATTACATAACCATAATGTCACATATTATTTACCTTACAGAAAAACGGGTGCATAAACAAACAGTAGTTACGCATATACATATACAGATGCGTGAACAGTTAAGTGTACGTATCGTTTACAAATAAAAACACATACGTACAAATGTATATAGTGTATGACATGTGACATGGACTTACTGCTAAGCAGTCATCGAATCACCTTACGACAGTGTAGCTACCTGGCAACCCAAACAGTTTGAACACAGCCAGCTGTGCTACCGCGTGTAGGCCTGCGTTCCTCTGCATACCCGAAAGAAGAGTGGTAAGCAAACAGCCGTGCAGACCCTTTCAAAGTGATCGACTGGACTAAGCGTGATGGAAACTCTGGGTCGTCGTACGCATAGTCCGTTGTTCTTCAGCGGGAGCTGACATACGCACGTAGGATCCCGTGGTCTAGCAGCCACGCCTTTTCTCTGACTTGGATATCTTGATCCTGATGTGCTGAAATGTCCCACATGTGACATTTCAAATAAATTAAACTCTGGTGCTTAACACCGCGTTGTGACAATATACTGTACATCAACATACCTCTCTCTCTCTCTCAAACATTCTACTAAGGGGGGACAGCCCAGCAATACGCGATGTGGCTGTTGATGTTGAACAGGAGTTCTGAGTAAAATAAACATACCAGTTCTGACAAGCAAGCCAATGCCGTTTGCTGAATGTTTTGGTTCTCAAACATCCCCTACTCTTTGAAAGATTCTTTTTTTGTTGGTTTACCTCCGTACAAGAAAGCACATCCCAAGATGCTAACCCATTTCCTCAATACAAGGTAAGTTCCTGTGAGAGACTCGACCACAATCAGGCACCGGTTCCAAATCTGAGTAGCGAAAATTTCACTGGGTTTAAATGTCTTAAAGGTAAGGCAGCAGGTTCTAATAACATGAGTCACCTCAGTCACAGTGTATGCCTAGAAATGCGATGAGCTTGTACATTTGGCACTGTGACTTACCAATTCGTCAGCAAGATGTACTTACACGGTTATCGTCGCAGCCTGTTGTATCAGTCGAAGCAGTCAGCTTATACTTTCTAGCTGCATTTGAACAAGAAAAAAGCACGAAAACAACTACAAGGCGAAGATACACTGGAAAATTGTGAGCAAAGTCTATGTCCTGGAGATTCGGTATATAAGAAATTATCGTCCGTTGCTTCGTTTTGTCCAGCTTCATCGGCTTCAATACATAATGCGACTAGGATTCATTTTTAGAAAAGATACTTTGCTAGACAAGTGAGTAAGTTAATTTCAGTCATTTTTCTAAGAGATGATGAATAGCTGCATGACTTACCAGTGCTGGGGACACCGTGTGTCTTTTGTGACAGGCGTGTAGTAAATCCTAAGTTTTGATAGAGGACTTTGACATTGCAGTTTTTCCTCTTAGACAACTGGTTTGTTATTTTACGAACCGGGTGGAGTATGTTGTACAGTTGTACAGGAAAATCTGCGCCTCATAGTTTCAGTGTTTGTCCTACGTTCTTGTAGGCTGAATCACATGTTGGTGACGGATGACGGCGGCCGGAGTAGATGTCGAACTGGGAACAGGCGTTGAATGGTTAATTCTAAAAGTTGGAATCTGAAAATTCAGGAATAAATCATTCGGTAGGTGAATACACTCCACACAATCCCTATTTTACCAGTAAGCTTCCACTGCTCGCCCGATAGTTTTGATTGTCAACTCTTCCTTTTTAGCATAGCCAGTAGAACACTGGTGGGTGTCCCGCACGGGATGTCTAAGAATTGGGTTGGCGGTAGGTTTACAGGATAATTCTATGTAACCTGCGAATTCTCCTCACTGGACCAAGTTTGGAACAACGTTCCTGCTCCAACTATAATTATTGCATATAAAATCTATTTGAAATTGATAGCCCTACATATAACCAGTTGACCATATAGTGTGTTTGGTTATACCCGTTCTTCCAGTGGCGTAGCTCCACAAATAGAATGTTGCCATTTCACTGCTCTCTAAGGACTGACGCCGCTTAAAGTTTACGCTCAACCGGAACTGCACTTACGAGTTGCCTTGTGACCGTGATCCTCGGTATTGTATACGAATGATTAGGGTCAGAGAACGGTACATAAATCGCGCAACCTCAGTTTGACAAGGCTGTCAGATGAAGAAACTAAAACTGACATAGCATGCCTGTTTGTTTGTGTACTGCGATGTACCAAGGATAGATAATAGAGGCTGGAATTCGTCCACTTTTAAAAACATTCCCCCATCAGTTGGCCTTCGCATTGACAATCTATTGTTCTCCATGCCCATGGGTTAGCATTGGTGAGCGTATTCTTCGATCGCTCCCACTTCCAATGACTGCTATTTTCTGTGAGAGTCCCAGAGGTTCACGTTATACACTCACTGTAGTGATCCATTACCTATTTTGCAATATGCTCAATTAAAAATCTTTTTGGCAACATGAGGAGATTTCGAAATTTTATGAGAGGCTTCATCCTATTAATGAAGCCATTCTGTACCAAAAGGCAGAGAGGATTCAACCTCACGATTGAATCTCACGACTATCACAAGATATTTGAATCACCCAGTTGGTAGCAGAAGTGTAGACCTTCATCGAGGAATGAGTAGCGCCATACCCGATCCGTCGCAAATTACAGACAAAGTCATCATTAGCTTGGAGCCGAAAGGTTAAGTCTTTAACAATGGGCCGATTAACCGGGGTCAGAATCTTACTGGAGATTCGTGAGGCGTGTACCTAATTTGGCTCCCAATAAAGATTACCTCGACGTGCAGTGCTCCTCGTATTTCTGATGCAGATCGAGTTAATCCACAGGCCGCAGTTCCAACTGTTGGCTGCCTGTGACAAATTATTAGTTCCGATTCAGTACCTTATAATTCACAAGCTTACTTGATCAGAGGCCAACGTTCCACTGTATTGGGAACTCAGATCCTGTCAGTCCCGCTTCCATATGTTCAAAACCACCGCATTGTGATTTCATACAAATCCACTTTCATCGTATACAGGCCACGAATAAATTTACCGGAAATCATGGAGGCAATCTTAGGGTAGTACACCATTGGTCATCTTCCCACACTTTCCCTCAGCCCAAACGAACAACAAACACTGAGACTGTGTCAAGAGCTTAGTTTCAGAATTTGACCCGGTTTATTTTTCCCGGCCAGCCACAGTTGCCAGAATCACCCTAAATTCATTTTACCAATGTTGGTTTCTACGGTGCCAAGTTGTGTGCCGCAAGTACAACGTAGAGCTGTGTACCAAAGCTCTTGGGTGGTCCTATGTGGCCAAACTAACAAGGTATTCCGATGACTTCGCCCTCTATAACTGTAACCGCTTAATCCGAACGTTGACTCGGCAGCTTCACTGTTCTTGCTCCACGTACTCACATAGACCTGGCATGTGCAATCACACCCAGAATTAGCACAGGATATAATGCATGAAATGTGAATCGACGGATGGACGAAGCGCAGAAATTCGAGTCGACCATCGACTCAAGTCTGTCTCGTTGCGTGCGTGTGCATATACGAAATAAGTTATCCCCCGAGGGCGCTAATTTATCCGGACCGTTGTGGCCATTTCACAGCTACTGGCGCACTACCGGTCATTGTTTGTTTGTAACGAATGTCAGCAAAAGAAAACCAGTGGAAGGTGTAAAACCCATCACCACATCGGAAACTGATCTGTTCATTCTCACACCAGCGTCGTTCACCGGATGACAAATCCTGTCGCTTCGACTTAAAATAATGTGCACTAACAGGCTTAAGTCCTTCATGTGGTAAGGAGATATTAGTGAAATACCATTTCGCGACCGGTTTTGTCACATTTTTGTTAGGAAATACCACTAATTAGCAAACTAAATTACCTGGAAGACCTTATGTCTATAATCATTTTTTGGGTTTCATTATGTAAAGTTGTCTCCCACTTATCAAAGTACACGCGTTTGCAAACTAAATTTGTTTTTTTTCGAGAGACTAATCTGGAACCCAGCTGAATCTCTTGTTTGTGATTTTTTCAGGCAACTGAATTTGCTGCACCAGGCCGTATTTTGTTTCAGTCGCTACGATATTCACAAACGACAAATTCAGCCGGGCTCCAGGTGAGTCCCTCAAAAAAACCAAATCGATCTGCAAATTAGTGTATATTCGCTAATTTCGTGCAATTTGGTCTCAGGTAGAACACGAGGTTGACGGAAACTCGGGGACTGCGCCTACCTGATGAACCCTGAGAAAGGCGAAACCCGTCGTCGGCTGTCAACGAATTTTCAGCAACCATATGAGTAGTACAGTCTCCTATTTCCTTTAGAAGTTCAACACTGACGATGTCACTAGATAGCTCACTCCAATGCCCCAAACCCACAGGAGTAGGGCTTGTTGAGTGTAATGTACTGACTGGAAACGACTATGCATGTGACTTTGTCTTTTAGTGTTCCAAATGCGGAGCATATCGGTTTTTTGCGAGATGTGTTTGAAGGTGTGAGTGTTCATGGGTTACTAGGCGGCTGAGTCTTGAATGTTCCACTTTCTAGAAGGTAGGTTATTTGTTCGAGACTTCTGACTAGTTTTTATTCTCGACCGGCGTACTGCAACCATGGAACTTTCAAGACTACTTCAGATCGGTCACTCTAGGATGGACCTCAAGTACTGGATATGTAGTGACTGCATGCTTTCCACTGCAAACATTTTCCAAAATCGAGTTGTCCCTCCTTTTTGGCTAGCTGTATATCCACTTCAACACCACGTATATTTGTATGTTTCGTTTGACTTGACCACAAAGGCTCTCCTCTGAATTTCGGTTTTAGTCGTGTGCAATGTGGTTAGTGTTACTCTCAAACCGACTTCATACGTACTGGTGGGTTTAGATATCGCCTTTTCTAGGTGCAACGTAACAACAGCTTTTCTGTTTGCAAAAGAAAAGGTTAAATGGCGACCTAACCAAAACAGTGCAGTTACTAAGGTACTCTAAAGATACTGGAAACTCGACGCTTTTACGGTTAATGGAATGCTCAGAGACAGCTCGTTATAACTGGAAAAGAAAAGGGCGCTTGCAGTAACCAACACAGAGAACTAGCTGGCAAAGATAATACTCTTATCCACTACAGTAAAGAAGTTTGGCCCTGATGAACGCATGATAGACAACTCCTCGGTTCAGAACACTTTCTCCAGTTGGATATGCTCAACTTCAATCTCCTTCTAACGTTTTTTCACAGGTTTCCTTTCCGCTTTTGTTCCTCTTCTGGTTCAAATCGCAGATCTTCTATCTTCCGTTGTTTGGCGGTTTAGTGATCCTTGATGTTGGGGTGTGGAGAGTGACCAGAAACCAGCGTATATTTGAATACCATGACTTAGGGTAAGTCTAGTGTCCAACTTTGTTGGTTAATTCACCCTAACCCCTTGTAATTAGATTAGGTAGTATTGGAGAGAACACTTTATCCTTTGGTTGTCATTGGCCTGTGAAATCGCTAGAGCCTCTGGTATACGAAGTTCATGACTTACTTATCATTTACCCCCTCAGTTCTTTTTACCAGCTTATAAGTGTGATAGTAATTTTCCATCCTGATATATCACGTTATAACTGAAGACCTAGGTAGTGATGTAGCTGTGTAGATCACATGATGTGTATAAACAATCTGTAACCATCTAGGTTTTCGTGCCATCTATTCGCATATTACAGGCCACGGTTTGCGTGATTTTTGATCATACGCTGCGTGTCACCTCTGCAACGAACATCTGACGGTAGGAATCATCTGGCTTGCAAAAGTCTCGCAACTTAAGTGACTGGAGTTAACACATGTTTGATGGATTCGCTTTCGTCAGCAATGCATGATATGAAGTCTTTTCCTGGAGTTTTTGAAGGGAAGTGTATCCATGCTAAACATTTGTTGGCCAAATGCTTTTTTAAGAGCACAAAAGGCGACAAGACGGTCATGGGTTCGAAAATGAAAGTGTAAATACACACCATTGCATGATATATTCCCTTGAAATGCAAGATGTGAAGCACTCTGGACTATTGGGCATCAGACTGATGAACGCAGGAAGGGCGGTTGATATGACTGGAATATTGGGTAATATTAATCCTTTAGTTGTAACATCTTTTTGGAGTCTAGTTGTCCGCTGTCTGAACGAAACACGAGGGCTGAGGTATGGTCAGATTACCAAAGCCTAGACAGGAGCAACCACGGACCTCCCAGTCACTTTGTCCCTTAAGCACTGAGCTTTCTCGGTCTCTGAGTGAGTGCTGGTGGATAAGTTGAACATGTATTTGGTGGCAATCTCCAGTGTGTGTTCCAGAAGTCAATGCGCTCTACTGTGTGGGCTGATGGGGAGTCGAACGAAAAACAAAATTAGACTGATGGAGTAAATATAAAGTCACCCGTATTACCTAACCAGTGTAGCTTGTTCAACATCACAAAACCCGAAGCCACAAGACACACACGTCAACCCGGTACCTGTTAAAAAAGCTGATGAATTTGTGAACAAACCCCTTCAATTCCAATGAAACAAAGTGAATCAGTCATGAAGTGGACAAATCGTGTGGTGTATCTCTGCTCTGAAGCAAATTCGATAGAATTGATGCATAGGGGTGAACAGTCCCGAAAAGATGTGATCAACCACCACTTGATCGATAGAGTTACTGAGTTTGGTCCGAAGCGCCCAAGACACAGACATGCATTGAATGCTCTATGGTACGGATTGCTTCACCTAATAGTGTCAGATGAACCAACTTATTGTCTCAGGTCATGAACGCATATCCATGAGGTATGATATACAGTCTGCTGATAGCTCTCTTAACTGTCTTCATTGCACTCAACTATGTTTCCTCAACTCTGAGCCATTATGAATATATTAGAAGGGATCGCTGACCAAAATCCTATTTCACAGCCTGTATCTATCGAGCCGGATGACACACTTAGCGGCAGATCAAAACAAAAATATGTGTGTAAACGTCTACGAGGCCAGGGTAAACAGAAAAACAGATTCACTGTAATTATGGTCTCCGGTAGCAAAATAAAGTTTACTGAACGCCTGCAGAGCGACTTTTGAATTAGTAGTTGTTTACGTAGCCCCAATACTTATGAAAACCAATGTGTGATGATCATATTGACGATGGGATGTTAATGAAAGCCCAAACTATACCAATTGGCAAACCCAATGTATGTCGTCGAACGGGTTGTGGGACAGTTTAAAACTCCTTAAGATGACCCGATCAACTTTATGGAATGTCATTAATGCGTGGCCATTGGCAAGCCTAAAAATGTGTATCAGTTGGACCATTTTGGCTTTACTGCTCACAACTCCATTCAGTAGCTTCTTGGTTCTCTGATTCCGCCTACAGTCATCTCACAGAACAACCTTCTATCACGTGCAGATCTTTACTGCACGTGATAGCGATGGTGATGTTGAGGGTGGAAGTGATGATACGACTAGGACTGAATGATTGGGTGACTGAATTTGATCTACCCAGTATAAAACCAATTCGGTAGGCAATTTAAGAAAAGCCGTGGAATCAAGTTGCGTTATTATACCTCGTCTGACAATAGTCCGGCTGCTTGAGGGTACCTCAAAACACCGGACACCCAAATAGTATTACGGAGTCCCAAACGCTACAAATTTAACGTCCCGGTTACCAATGCCTTTGCCAAATAGCAACTTAGATTTTAACCAAAATCCCTTTGTAGAAGTTTGAAAAGATTGTACGGTAAACTGATCTGTATGGGACATTTTGTTTGTGACGAATTGATTACCAGTTGCACTCAACGTGGAAAATTTGCGGAAATCTGATGGCAGATCAAACCCAGTCGACAAATTAACGGTGCACCCACCGGGGATCTACGTTGAAGTGGAGTTTGTTGCCATGGCTTGGAACATAGGATTACAAATTACGCATACCAGATCAAGGTAACTGCCAATCAGGAACAGCGCATCTGGATGTGAACCAAGAAAATCTTAATATGTAGTGGATTTGGCGTCTGGACCGCAGTACAAAGGCCACCCTTAAGTGCAACCACCTTGCGCAGAAATTCAACCAAGGATTATGAGGGTGAAGGCGCTAATTGACGTACGGTTTGACACAAGGTAGGGTACGATTTGTCGGTTTCTATTCACTGATTTCGTATTTGATTTGACCACCGCGAGAATGGGTGAAATTGAACGCTGACCAACTCAATCAATCATTCTGCTGCAGAACAGCAAAAGTTTAGGGCAGAATTTCACCGCGTCACCTACTTCTAGCTACGAAAACTGACCCGTTGTCGTTTTATGTCTGTCTTGTCTTGTTGCATACAAGTTGCAGATTCATGTGATCTGTTTTAGTATATCTCAAAGATCCGACCTACCGAGTAAAGCTTAATCGGATGGCCAAATCATAAACGCAGACTCTAATCCGAAAATTGCAACCGTTTGTGTACATATCAAATGCATTAGTACATCAGCATTGTGCTTCTCACCCTTCCACAAAGTCAACTTTACAGTAAATCGCATTCAACCAAATCCCACTAGCGAATCCAAAGTAGTCTGTCTAGAACAAATTTCCTGATATAGCTGACCATAAAACTCATCTGCATAGTGCTTAAAAAAGAAACCGGAGGTCGCAGAAATGTAGACTAAGGCTAGTTTTGGTGTTACTGAATGGGTCTGATACTAGTTTATCATACGGAATCATTGTGAGTAAGATTTAACAACTTCGATGTTTTGATTACTGCACCTTTGATAATAAAAATGCCATATACATGCTATCTACCTTAATGGTACCAAACATAAAAATTTAATTTTCACTATTAGAACGTGTGCCTATTGAACTGACGGAAGAACCCGATTATAAAACATTTCTGATTCCTTTTGCTTACTCATCAAAAGTCTTGAAAACTGATGGCAAAACCATTTCAGCTAGTTGTAAAGTTAAAGCCATCCATTTGTATTCCACAATGAAGATTAATTGGGGTTCAGGATGAACATTCTAACCCAGATTGCACTGCTCATGCTGGACGACTGGATGTTATCCACAGAATTCATAACGCACAAACAGTTGTCAACTCTTACGGTCCTTATTTTTAATATTAAATTCTTCAATGTATGGTTACAAATTCCCAACAGAAAGACCCCGCTTTGCCTCTTTTGAAATTGTAAGGGCTATAAATCATTGTGAGATCCTCACATTTCTGACTCTCGCCATTAACGATTAGTCCACATCTTCCCTTTTGCAAACGTTTAAAACATACATTCACTATTATATTTTCTTTTTAGCGGTCTGATTTCCAGCAAGTCTCCCCCTGAAATGAGCTCAACAGTTTGATTTTTATGCGGCCTACTAAAAAAGTGATTCTAAACAGCGGATAACGATATTCTTTCAACAACACTTTTTTACGGAGCTCCTTATGGTACCAACCATCGGCCGATTGTGGAACTCACACAAGGGGCTAATTACAAGACGCTATTAGGTATCAGTTGGCATGGCGAATCCGCTGTGAAGTTTAAATGGAAAAGAATGATGCACAGCAAACGTCCTTGACAGCTCAGTCGATAGGGAACCCGTCCAATAGACAGGAGGTTTACGAATGAATTCCGTTCTCGGCCGTTTGTTCACGCTACTCGTGCTTGGACTTAAATGCTGTACATTTATCAAAACTGCTCTACTTTTAACTATTTATTCAGTTGGTTGGTCAGGTTTATTGATTCGAATTGTTTTGATATGAATTGTTTTCATTTGAAACGTAAAACAACTCGAAAAAAATTCCACAAGAATTTTTCAAAACTGCATTTGGACCTCACTTAGTTTTTCATCTTTCTTCATGCCGGCCTAGCAGAATAAACTGTCAATAATAACTCCAATAACCACGCCCTCATTCCCTATTTGCAACGGATTGAATAGTCGTCTTGCTGGAAAACCCCTAGTGGCAATTTGAATGTGTTCACTGCTGACGCCAACTGATAAACACCATCCAAAACGGAGGGATTTTATTGGTTCAACGCAAAGCTTACCTTAATGAAATACGAACTTTCTATCAATTTTACTCTTCCTAATCGTTGGGTGTATTGTCAGTCAGAAAAGAAATAAATTTGATACCCATTTGAACAATACTACACACTTCCAACTTCTGTTTGAATAGCCACGCTATTGGTTCTCTAAGACCATTGTTCAGTGTCGACAAAAAGCCTCGATGGGCTTCATAATTCATTAAAAGCTGACGCCTCCAATCTGTGCACAAGCATCCAACTTTATTTATGCTGCAAGGTGACTGTCAATCACACTTTACGCTTTGTGTCCGAACCTTTGGCTTGGTGCAATTAAAAAGAATTTGTGGAAACTAACCTGATGAAATGTGTCCTAGGTGGAAAAATGCACTTATCATC